AAATTGCCAATTTAAAGCACTGGTGCTGAAAACAAAGATCATTAAAAAAAATAATTCAACATTTTACTTGCATCCATTTTTTATTCAACAAAACAAGTAATGTAGAGTAATATGAAAAACAGTGAACTCCTAAAAAATGGACCAATCAGGAAGAAAAATAGGCTTGATAATGCAAACATCATCCATTTTAATTGCTCCTTGCAAATGTGCATGATCAAAAGATTGATTGCTGCTTTCGTCTGGTGAATGTTCAAACTGATCACCAACATTAACTCAGGAGCACAATATTAAAAAAAAAATTTTAACCTGCAAAACAAAAATATATAAAATAATTTGTGCAGATTTTTTTTCAATCAAAGATGATGTCTGGATTAATGGCTACAAGTAGCAGGCACAAAGCGGAATAATTGTTGCCAATATTCGGCACATTTTCGCTGAAAAAAACTCAAGCGGCTTATCAGCGTGATTGGGGTGTAATGTCTTTAAGTGACACCTTTATTTGGCTTCATGCTGTCCGCTGCCAACATTTTTAGACACAGTAAGAACACCGGTCTTTCCTCGTCTCCCACCGTAGTCACAGTGAAGCGAAGCGCGACATACGCTTCATCATATTTCCTCGACTTAGCTTTCGGGAAACTTCTGTGCCCAGATTTATTCTTGATCGTATTGACTCTGACTTTATGCTATACTGGAAAAATGTACTATTTGGGTTCTACGAAAGTAAGGAAAAAAATACTAAACAAACCTTCATTATAAATTTAATAATTATTCTCGCCAAGTTCCATATCCACAAATCCAGATGGAGTAATTTAAAACCTCTTTTCTTAATTTTTGAAACAGAAATAAAGCAGTACCTAAGTTCTATTATGGATTCTAAAAACAAGAAAGCTGTTAAAACTCTGGCTATATGCTCCTTTTTTGAAATTTTTGTTTAAAATCCCCTGGCTTCTTTTTTTGTTTAAATGTTTGTAATATGTGTATGTATTAATAACATGTTCATTTTGTTTTCTGTTTATTGAGAATTGTACCATGACTTGTTCGAATAAAGATTCATTTCAAAAGAAAAAAAAAAAGAGAGAGCGAGACCCACAAAAAAAAAAAGAAACTTCTGTGCTGTGTGCAAAGCACTCATGCTCAGTGCGAACAAAACACAGAGTGAATGCTCCCTGCGCACACTCTACCAATGAGAGCGCCATAGGTGAGACTGGGAAGAACATCATCATCAACACGCACGACTAGCACTGGAGCCCCACAGGGATGCGTCCTCTCTCCACTGCTCTTCTCCTTCTACACGAATGACTGCACCTCAACAAACTCAAGACAGTAGAGATGATCGTGGACTTCAGGAAACATCCTTCACCACAGCTGCCCCTCACACTATCCAACTGCCCTGTGTCAACCGTCGAGACCTTCAAGTTCCTGGGAATCACAGTCTCCCAGGACATGAAGTGGAAGGTCAACACCAACTCCATCCTGAAAAGGGCCCAGCAGAGGATGCACTTCCTGAGGCAGCTGAGGAAGCATGGCCGAGTCCATAGGAGGTGCTACGACAGTTCTACACTGCAGTCATCGAATCAATCCTGTTTTCTTCCATCATGGTTTGGTTTGGGGCCGCCACAAAAAAGGACAAAATCCGACTTCAATGGATAGTTAGGACGACGTAAAAAAAAACATCTTTTGAGGACTTGCACACCTTGTGTATGGCGGGGTCTGTACCAAGAGCCATACACAAGGTGGAAACGGCGTTGCAGAGTGAACATTGTGAATAAATTACATATATTTTCTGTGTTCAGAAACCAAAACAACACGTCAAAAGGCGCAAGATAAAATGAAACAGTTCGTACAAAGTGGAATTTGGGACACAAAGTATGGTGGGGCTTCAAACCAGTACCTGAGGTTTACAAATCCATGACTCTTATCTTTTCGGTTACCAGTGACCTGATAGTCAACACCACTCCTCTCTATATGTTATCAAGAATGGGACGTTTGTCGGCTTGGAAAATACAAAAGTGCATGTGGCGCTTTCACCTGATACTGAGTGATGTTGCTTGGAGTTCTGAAGGAATTGGGTTCTAATCCAGGCACTTTTCTAGCAGTAGTAAAAGCACAGAAGGAGTGAGCTCCAGACTAGGCAAGAACAGTTGGCGGCAGGAGCTCAGTCCCTTACCTTGCTGCACTATTCTGAGCCCTCTGTACCACCCTCCCCGCAGTCACCGCCTTGGCACATGTGTGGTGCAACATCGGCGGTGCCTAGTGGGCAGCAGCCTCCCAGTTATGGCACGTCAACCACTCAGTGCAGAGGTCGTGGGTTTGATCCCAGCGCCGGCCTACCTGTGTGGAGTTTGCATGTCTCCCTGTTCCTGCTTGTTTTTTTTTTTTTTTTTTATTGGGTAATCGCGTTTTCCCCCAATCCCGAAACAGCCACTGTCCTGCCTGTTTTCCAGCTCTCCCAGCCGCAACACACCTGATTCAGGTGATCAGCTCATCAGCCAGCTCTGAAGCAGCATTAGAATGATCCTGATTATTTGAATCAGGTGTGTAGCTCCAAGGAGAGCTGGAAAACAGGCAGGACAGCGGCCCTTGAGGACCAACTTTGGACACCCCTGCTCTAAATTGTCCCAAGGTGTGAGTGTGAGCGTGGATGGCTGTTCGTCTCTGTGTGCCCTGTGATTGGCTGGCAACCGGTTCAGGGTGTGCCCCCCCTACTACCCAAAGACAGCTGGGATAGGCTCCAGCAACCCCCCACCCCCACGATCCTTGTGAGGGTAAAGCGGATCGGAAAATGGATGGATGGATGGATGGATGGATGAATGCCACAGTTCCATCGCACTTTTGCATTAAATTTGTGTCCAGATGTCTCAAAATCCACCTCCTGTGTGCTTTTTTTGGGGGGGGAACACAAAAACCATAGCATTTTATTCACAATGTTCGCTGTTCACCGCTTCTTCTACCTTTTGTATGGCGCATCTTGCTCTAGAATGCGAGAGCCCCATTTGGACATGCACTGCAAAAGGCACTAACTTCCGTCTGCTGGCCAAATTGTGATTGCAACCTTCTGAAAGAATGCCATATTATTTCTGATTACCCACCTTGTCTGTGGCTCTTCTTCGCTCTCAAATGCGAGAGCTCTCTTTGGCCGTGCACGGCAAGCTGCGATAGCTTCTCTCTGCTGGTCAGAGCTAGTCACTGCCACCTTCTGAAAGAACACCATTTTATTTCTGAATACCTGACAAGAGAGCCCCACTTGGACTTGCAAGGCAAAAGTCGAACACTGCCGTCTGCTGGTCACAGTTTGTCAATACAACCCTCTGAAAGAATACCAATTTACTGGATTTCTCATTATCCTCAAAAGTCGATCACTGCCGTCTGGTGGTCAGTTTGTAGTTGCAACCTTCTGAAAGAATGCCATAATATTTCTTATTACCCTCGAAAAATCATCAGTAACACAAAAGGGCCATCCTGTGAAGATAATTTTTTGACATTTGATGGATTTATTTTTGTTTTATCTCTGAACAAAAAACATTACAATTGTTAAGGTATTTATTCCTTACTGTTATTTTATTGAGCCCCACTCTGTCGTTGGTTCTGTTCAAACACTTGAAACAAAGAATGTACTGTATAATGCTGTTGAAGGTATTTCCTGCTTACTGTGATTACAATCACCTTTAGTGCCCCTCTAACCCCACCACTTTTAGGGCGCCCTTGAGAGGACATGTTTAACATCAAAAGAGGAACTGTTATCTCAAGTATCTGTGTTGCTGCCGTCACATCAAAGCTCAGGCTGAAGAAAATAGGGGGTAGTGGTGGTCTGGTCTCACCTCACCACTCCCAACTTCTTCCAGCCACAGCGGGTCAGATGTTACTTTCTTTGTCTCCGTGATTTGTATGGAGGCATAACTCCCGCCTCTCATTATCATATTGTCTCTATATAATTTCATGACTGTGTTTTTTCTACGCTTTCTGCATTTTTTTCAGCTTATGCCAGACGTGGACATTCTGTAGAACACACTGCAAAAACAAAGTGTGGATGCGGCCACAGTCATCCGTGCTATGGATAGCTTCAAAGACTGTGTGAGTCCACTGAGAGAAAACGTGGATGTCATCGCTGAAGAGAGAGGCAGCACTGAAGAAACGGTAATGTGCAAAAAACTCCACTTGCAGCAGTTATGAAAGAAGCCTGTGATGCCGTGGTGGCTCACGTGGAGGAGAGTGATCAACTTATGACAGCCTTAATTTGGCCATGAATGAAATGGATTGCGTTCTTGATTTACAATTCACTGTGTCGGCTTTGCTGCTTGTGGATGGAAAGTGCCAACTGTGGTGCCCCACTCAACTTTTCATGCCGGAGATGCCACTGCCCACCAGACTAGGCTATACAGTAATTGAACTCCACGCCTGACATTCCAAATTTGGAGGGTATTAGTAACAGACATTGACGGGTGAAATTTTGAAGGCTTCAAGTGAGATCTTCCAGACAATGATCACAAAAACCGTCTAAACTACCCTCTGTTCAATTGACAATAGAGACGCAATAGTTTGGATGTTATTCCTTTGAACAATAACAAATGCGTCTTTCTACAGGACATTCTGAGATGGTCAATTGGGGGTCATTTGATGACGGAATGAACCACTTCAGAGCGTACTGGGGTTCACAACGAAATGATGAAGCAGCCTACCACTATGGTCGAGCACATGGGATTGTGGGATGTAATTATTTTTAGCATAAAGGTTGACACCCCCCCCGCCCCACCCCC